CCCCAAAACCCCAAAACCCCAAAACCCCATGATTAATAAAAGGATAAGCGTTTAAGTAGGTTTGAAATAAATGAGACTTGAAATAATAGAACAGTTTAGATAAATACGTAGAGTAAAGGATGAAATAATCACTATGATTCATAATATTACAATCTACTTCAGTTATATATTTGTCCTTTGGAAATATTGCTCTTATATTAAGCTTCATTCAACCATATTAGTTGTTTTAATCCATTCTCAATGTGCAAACAGCAAATTTTAAATGAATTCAGTATTCTATAGGTTTTTTCAGTAGTTGTTTCTATTTGCTAATCAATTTTAATTTATTTTTTAATGATTTTTGTATTGGATCCACTATAAGTTTTAGTATTTTCACAATAATCTTATTATTAATAATGCAAAAATAATAAGTAGTATTTGACAAGGAGGTTGTAAGAAGCAACTTGATGAAAGTTCACGAACTTGCTAAGAAGCCACAATTCTAAGAGACATTCGGCAAGCACTACAATGATATTTTAAGGTTAGATGATGTCATATTTGAAGAAGGAGTTGTTGGAATCGTCCACTACAAGTTTAAAATACCAGACTACATGGTTGATTCTAATGGAAATGCTCACAGAAGAGCGCTACTTACTATGACAGATGTGATACCTTACTTTGCTATTCTAGGTTTTGAATCAAGATAAGGAATATCTGTGCAGCTCTCAACTGAATTCCTTAACGACGCACCAGTTGATTAAGATCTATTAGGAATCTGCAGAATTATAAAGCTTGGAAGAGGAAATGCTTTTACTGATTGCACAATAATAAATCCTAAAAATAACCTGCCTCTTGTGAAGGGATCCTTAACAATGAACTTTGTAGAGTCAAGACACAAACTTTGAAAAGATGAGAGTGCTATATCTAGAGTTATAATATGAATCTAGATCTTAGAAACTAATCATAAATGAATATCTATGCCAAAGCAAGATATCAATCAAATATATTCAATGACTGTATTAACTTCTCAAAATAACTTCATATTAATTGAATTTTTAAATATGCTCTAGTCTGAGCAATTTCTCTAATAGGGGTTTTGGGGTTTTGGGGTTTTGGGG